CATGTGATGCAGGTCAATGTTAGACCTGTGTTGGACAACTTCATATGAGATTGCTGTTATGAGCAGAGTTTTATTTCATTAGCTTCCAGGCAGTTACATTGTTATAGACCACATGTGAGATGGGGTGCGGGTTATTAAAGAGATCAGACTATATATTTAAACAGAAGTAGTTGTTATGGTATCTTTGCTTTTTTCAAAGTTATTCATTTTGTCTCAACCTTCACAGCCAGAAGCCGATAAAGTCAACTTCCACTTTATTGCCTTCGTCAATGTAAATGGACAGCTGTATGAATTTGGTAAGAATTTGGCCCCATGCACAATCCTGTAGTTAATGTCCCTGTATTTGTTTTACATTGTGGATTCTAATATCTTATTTATATCTTAAGATGGGAAAATAAATGGACCAGTGAACCACGGTCCTACCAAAGAGGAGTCCTTTGTAATGGTATGTATATCCAGTTATTGAACTTTTCAGTTTGTTATTTTCAGTTTTTGAACATTTGCAAACTGAAAATAACAGTCATTGTTCTTTGCATATCAACTAGTCATGTATTAAACTGGAGAGGGAGTGTGAATGAGAGTCTGTCAAACTGGGCTTAGTCAATTTGTATATCTGATATACAAATTGCAGTCATTTAAAATTAGGTTAAATTATTACATAACCTGGCAAGGAAATGCAAAAATGTGTGAGTTTTGCAATTATTCATTTGCTTCTTAAATTTTAATTGGACTATTTATGATTGCAGCAAATGATCACAAGGCAAACCCACGTGTGTGTGAGATAAAACCGCATCATTAAATGTGGTAATTTATTGAGAACTAGTTATAGTAAAAGATTTGCCTCTTAAGTAAGAATTAGTATTCAATTTAATTGAAGTGCAACAAGCTGGTTTGTTTTTATGAACATCTGTGAGTAATGCATTACTACTACCAGAGGATGGCAGTATTGCACCTGGCAATGGTGTCGAATGCTCAACAAGTTCCCAGTTAATACCACAGTATTGTTTTAAAATCACCCAGCTACTAGGAAGTTGAATACCTTCATTCCACTATGATAGACTTGCACTGAAGTGGAACTTGCTAGACTGCTGCTTTCAGAGCTACCTATGTGCACAGCATGTAATGCTGTTGAAACATTTAGAGGATGAATTTCCCTAAACTGGTTCAATTTAACTTAACATGGATCTGTGTTAACTGGCAGCACTAGACCTCATTATCAGGCCATTTACATCAGTGATATTGCCCAGACCTACTAAAATATGAAAATATCAGCAGTAAAATAAACGTTAATACAAGGTGTTAGTGCATAGTGCACTCCCATTTTAAAATTATTGATGTATTGTTTAAATATAGTGGATAGAGTTTTGAATAATTAGTTGACATGTCATCTTTTGATCATATCTAGGATGCAGCCAAAGTGTGCCGTGGATTTATGGAGAGGGAGAAAGGTGAAGTGCGCTTCTCTGCGGTGGCTCTCTGTCAGAATTAAGATGTTTAGTAGGACACAAAACTGAGCAAATTGTAAACCAAAATGTCCTGGAGCGTTCACATGGCAAACAATCAACAGGCAACCTGTGTGCGCATACATCTGCAGACACTATGCACTAAAGCACATTGTTTCCACATTTCTCTTATTTCATGAACAAAGTCTTGTTTAGCATTAACACATGTACACAAACACAATCAGAGCCCTTTGTTCTGCAGACACTAACAGTACAAGCCTGTCCATACAGTTTAATGTGGTTTAGCTGTGAATCTGTACAGCATGTGGTCATTACCACTGCTTGTGTGCACATGTCTGCAAGTTTTTTTTCCACTGCATCTGTGTCGAGCTCAGAAGACTGATGTTAAAATACCTTTTGTGCCAACAAGTGTGACAGATGAGACAAAAGATGTTGAGGGAAGTTTTGTTTCTGAATCCCTTTAGTTTCTGTGTGGTTGAGTTCTTAATCTGATGTTCTGCTGAATAGCCCAAATGTATCTGTAGGAATAATCAACCATTGTTTAGAGCAAGGAAGAAACCTTCTCACTGTTTTGAAACGTCTCTGGAAAATTGAGGTTCTTTCTGATAAGCTTGAGTTTAGTGTGAGCGCAAATCAGTTCAGTTCATTGTGGTGTTCAAAAAATGAACAGGCACCTTATTTAAAAACCTAAGGATCCACAAATGATCAAACTCACATACCCTTACTGTGCCAGTTTAACAGATAATACAACTTCCAAAGTAAAGTAGGGAACATCTGAAGTGCTACTGTATGTTGGTTGTTGTGCAGTGCTGGGTGTCTGGCTGTGTTTGAATTGTTTACCTTTCTGCACTTTCAAATCCTATGTTGCTGTCGTTATACTGTTAATACAGCTGTGGGAATATAATAAAGCAACTGTTGTCTCCTTGTCCTGTTGTCCCGTCTCCTAATATCCATTGGGTATCTTTAAGAAAACAGTACAGGGAAATCAACTACTGCTGAGAACTTTTCTATCCCTGCCATTACTCTAACATTACAGGCTTTTAGCTGAAACACAAAGTGAAACTTTTGTCTTATGTGGTTAAATGACCTCAGGCTCATCCTGGACTGCACTTGGCTGCTGTCCAACTTCAAAAGGGTGAAACTAGAGGAGGAAAGAGCTGTCTATAGCACCTCATCATTGTGCTTACATAAGTCAGTCTGTGCTTCAGGTGAGCAAGCAGCATACTGGCACGAGCAACACTTCATGTTTTGATAAGAAACAAAGGAGCATGACAGTACACTCAGGCAGTTAGAGCGGAAATATTGCATTTATTTCTTACTCAGAGAATGTCTTTCTGAACAGGTCACTGGATCCAACATAACTGGTTTGACCTGCCAGCTGAAAAAGCCACATTTAAGCTCAGTGATCTGAAACGGCTCTTATCACCAGTGCTGATAGTCACACATGACCAATCCATTATTTTTAGTCTGTGTGTGTGTTAACTCCAACACATCCAACTTAAATTGAGCTATAATTTACCTGTGCTGGGACTGGAGCTCACAGGTTCTTGACTTTTTTTTGAGTCTGAAGCAGGACCTGATCAACCTGATGTGGGGGGCAAGGGCCTGTTACCCTGCACCCACCCCCCCAATCGTTTTAGTGCTTTTTTTTAAACGTATACATGATGTCATGTCATTAATTATGGGAGAGACTTCAATATTGTCACATTATTAAACTAAAGACTTATCAGCTGTGATATAGGTATTGTATCTTGATTATATCATGCTTTGGAGATTCATACCAAACAAATCTGATTTTGTGAATAATTGGAAATGATGATAAAAGGGCATTCAGACTGAATAAAAATAAAATCCCGCATTCATTTTTAAAATCTCAAAGCTTAGCTTGAATTTAAGACGACAGTTTCGTGTGAAATTTCGCACAGAAATTTGCGAACATGTGAACCTTAAGTACCCATGTGTGGCTCCAGTCCTATTGGATACAAGAAAACGCGCTGACTTAAGCTGCCTGTGATTTAAATACTGCAGTTTTACATTTTTATGGTGCTCTTTGCTTCACATTTTAAAGCCTTCAGTCTACCTGTGCTCAGGTATGACCAGTCCCCTTCAAACACATTATGGGTCACCTTCGAACAGCCCCCACCTCCCTCATCACTCTCTCTCTCTCTGCATCTCTCCTATCTATCTCGACCTCCCCCGCAGAGATTCCTGCCTGCGCGTTCACGTTTCTCGAAACGCGCGGCGGGGGCCGAGGACAGAAGCCTCGCGCAGTTCGGCGGAAAAGAGTCGTTATTATTTTTAGCGCCTGGTTCGCGTTTCGCGAGGAGCCGCTTCTCTGTCTCTGCGCCACAGTCTGCGCAGAGCTCGCGCGGAGCACGAGAGGACCCGCCGTGACAGAGCGCGGAGTTGCGGGGGAAGCGCGCGAGGACGAACATAACGGGCTCCGGACACAGACCATCTGAAGGGAGGCTTATCACATATCACGTATCACCGTATCGTCCGGCTTTGGTCTCGGCCTGTCCGGAGATGGCTAGCCCCGCTGCCTCTGGAGATTCACCGAATGCCCCGCGGGAGCAGGAGCCGCTAGAGCAGCACCATCCCGAACCAGCCTGTCGGGAGGCTCAGAAATGGATAGAGGTAAGTGAGGAGAGGGGGGCTCAGAGGCCTGCTGCTATTGCACACCGGGGACATAAACGGGTCATATAGCCACACGCTGTGAGCGGGGATATAAATAATCACCCCAGGCGCATCGTCACCTGTTTGGGAGGAGGGGGACGATGCGGTGTCCGTGTGGGACAACAGCCACTGTGAGTGTGAAAAGTTTTCACCTGTGCCGTCGTCCTAATGACACTGAACGCCAACACCTGCTCTGTAGGGACTTTAAACGCCGCTCGGGCTCGAAAATAAACCGTCATCATGAAGTAAAAGCTCGCAGAGTGTCTGTTTGTGTAGGGACGATGGAGAGCCTGTTTTCTACTTGCTAGGAGGAGAAACGCCCCCCTTTTTGAGGCGCGAGGGGATTCCGGTTGCCATGGTTATGAAACCGGGCCAGTGTTCACGCACGAGATGCTTCACTGTACCCACGGTTGATCGCATCGGATGAGATTATCATTTGCTGCATCGCTTCCACCATCATCTGCTCGGATACAGTGCCTCCTTCCATCAGCCTGAGCGGTGAATCACGGTTTGCCCGCGGAGCTGCTGCCTTATGACCTATTTTATACCTCCAGAGCGGCTCAGCTACCTGCCAGCCAGCATTTCAGATAGAGGAGATAAAGGACTGGAGCTGCTTCAAAATGACTATTTTTATTTTTTAATCTTAAGTTTTGGCTTTATCCTCACACCATGCTGTGTTTTCACAAGACTCCCACACACTGTGCTGTGGGCTGTCCTGTACATTAGCCAGATTGCAACAGGCTCTGGTAGAGAGAGAACAGGATGCTGTTATGGATAAAGACCCTTAAAATGTTTAACTTTATTTCCTACGCGGTCCTACTTAGAACAGATGTAAATACAAAATGCATCTTTAAAATTATGATTAAATTTTTTAGGGGAAAAGGAAAATCTATGAAATCATAACTGTCCCTCTTGTTAAATCAAGAATTAACTGTAATTAATCACATTTTTTTAAAAGCTGAGTACAATTTCACTAGTCACTGCCAGGCCTGATTACACCTGTTGAATCACTTAGATAGAACCTGTCTAATAAAGACAGGTAGCAAACTAAAGGAACTGAAGGATCTCAACAAACTCACGATTTAAAGAAACTCAAGAACAGCTGTGAAACAAAGTCATTGACATATATCAGTCTGGAAAGAGTTACAAAGCCATTTCTAAGGCTTTGGGAATCCATTGAAGCACAGTGAGATCCATTATTCACAAATGGAGAAAACTCCCCTCCCAGGAGTGACCAGCCTCACAACATTACTCCAAGAACGAATTGATGATTCATTCAGGAGGTCACAAAGAACCCTGAACAACATCTAAAAAACTGCTGGCCTCACTTGCCTCAGTTAAGGTCAGAGTTCACGATTCAACAATAAGAAAGAGTCTGGACAAAAATGGAGAAAAAAAAGGAGAAACCCACTACTGACCATAAAGAACACAAAGGCTCACATTTATTTAAAAAAAACAAAACAAAACATGTTGATGAACCCAGAGACAAAAAATATTCTGTAGTCTAACACAAAAGTTTTGGGAAGCTTTAAGTCCTGTTACATCTGCATTAAACTAACAGTATTTCATGAAAAGAACATGATAGGTAATAGCCAAATGCACCAGCAAGTCCTTCTCTGAGTGGCTTAAAAAAATTAATAAATAAATAAAATGAAGGTTTTGGAGGAAGCTTCATCAAAGTCAGGACTTAGGTATGCTTGAAAACCATCCAATGTAGGTGAATTAAAACAATTCTGCAAAGAACAGTGGGCCAAAATTCCTCCACAGTGGTGTGAAAGACTCGCAGCCAGTTATCACAAGTGCTTGATTGCAGTTCTTGCATCCAAGGGTGACAGAACCAGTTATTAGGCTGAGGGGGCAATTAGGATAGCTGTTTTCCCTCAATCATCATTTAAAAACTGCATTTTGTATTTACACGAGTCACCCTTTTGCAGTTGGACAGCAGCAATTACTTTTTCACAGCACTGGAGCTCACACTTGGTTGAATTTTAATATAGAGTAAGTCTCCGTGTCCTGTCATCAATGAGATGTGAAAAACTGCAGCAAAAATGGAAATCAGAGAGTAAATAAGAGCCTAAAAATGAGTCAGTAAACAGTGATGTTATTGAACCTGTTTTAAAACGCTGAAGCTCGACCAAATTTGAAGCACAGCAAGCTCTACATCTATTTTGTCCTCAGTAGTACTTGTCCTCTTTTAATGACAGTCCTGACGTCGAGGCTACAAAGGGTTACATCTGTACAGGAAAGCACACCTAATACTGAATAATACTCGTGTTTTTGTCGAGGAGAAGCTGGATTCAGAAAAGCTTCATAGCCAAACAGTTAAGTGAACAGGCCTTTAATGAGTGCATACAGATAAGACTGAAATCCAATCAGAGATTAAACAACCAGCCAGTGCACTCAGTGTAACAGTGGCTCCTAATCTGGAGGTTAGGACCCCATTGGGTTGCATAATGATTAACAGGATAGAAGAGTAAAAGGACTGACGGTCCGTTAGCTGCATTAGTGATAATGGGGTACTTCTGGTTGTTGTCAACATGGGAATAATGGATTTGTTTTAAAGATAATTCATAGATGAGCTCAGATTTGTTGAGTTGCAAATTTTGAAAGCTTTTTCCATAACTTGGAGTATTCATCATTGTATTTCAGGCTGTGTGTGCTTTATTTATATGCACCCCATTTATTGTGACTTGTATCATCATTTAATAAGCATTAGATAAATAACTTTACATATGCATTGTTGTGTTGCCTCCAAACTTGTAAAGACAGCAGTATATTCAAAGTACTGAGATGAGAATTTAAAACACAGTACTGTGTCTTTATTAAGAAGAAAATAGGTCTTCAACTTTCAGGTTTATCTTAACACTCTAAATCTCGGAGATAACAGTCATTTTTAAGCCCTTCTGCAGTTGGCTGAGTCCTCTTTGTTTTTTTGGGACCATCTGTCACTTTCATAACTACATATACAGCTTCAACACCTGATAGTTTTTGACCCTCCACTGTGGACTGTGTTAGCTTTTCCCTCAGCAGCAGGCACAGTCTAGTCTAGGTTAATGCCCACCTCTTAATCTTAATCTCTCCTGCGTCTTTGCTCCGTGTTCCTCTCGCTTTGTCGTCTTCCTGCCTCCTAATACTCCAGTTATTTTCAGGCTGCTCAGGCTCAACCTATTTCTGGTGGGGTATTTTTACACTCTCACAGGTGGGGATGGGGATTCAGAGATGACCATGCCACCAAACACTCCCTGCAACT